GTCTGGGGAATGGTTGGACCCCATGATCTGAAGGGTCTCTTCCAACCCAAAGATTCTCTGGCAGATGCCTTCTCCTTAGCTCAGCCAGCCCCTGGTGTTGTGTGTCCTTTCCCAGTGTCCGTTCTCTGGAGAGCTGTTGAACAGAAAGGCTCCGTGGTTTCCTTTGTCCTCTGCTTCTGTGCCACCTCCCCTCCACGGGGGCTGCTTGTGCTGTTGAAATGAAGCCCATGGGGTCCCACACAGGCTTTCCCTGACTGAGCCTTGTCCTGGGTGCTCCCTGCAGCTGGAGTGGCTGAGGGGCTGGGGTGGGCAGGGCAGAGCAGGCTGGCAGCACCGCTCAGGGGCCTGGCTCCGACCTGCCCAGCAGCCCCCGGGGGTCCCTGCCCCTGCCTGGGCTTTGTGTCTGATCTGGGAGCAAGATGTTCTGGTTCCCGGGTTACCCAAGGGTTGCATCCTCTGCCCTTCTGTTCTTTTTTGGGGAGAAGTGGCTGGGTGTGCCCCAGAGGCCAGAGCCACCACAGGGGTGCCTCCTAAAACCCAAAGTGCTCTGTGAAACACTCTTACAGACCTGGGGGAAGGCAGGGGGGAGGCAAGGACAGGACAAGACAAGACATCTTCATTCAGAGCACTTGGTGTATGTGCATTCCTCATAGCTTGTAACAGCTATTTTTTTTTTCTTTTTTGCCTTGCTAAAAATACCCAATTAAAAGCTGTTGTGGGAGTCTGCTGGTGTCAGATCTCTCTTAAAAATAAAACGTGTGTTACGAATACTAGGTAGCCCTGCATAAAAACTGTGCTTTAAATAAACATTAGGTAGGAGTTGCTCTTGGTAATGTGCTGGGTTTATTTTATGCAGTTAGGCTTTGGCATTGGAAGTGCCCCATCTCCTGCAGCATCGGGTGCACTGTGTTCAGTTCAGTCCTCACACAGGCTCTTTTTCTCATAGAAATATGTTCTGGAAATAAATGTAAATCCTTGTTAGCAAAGCCTAAATAGAGTGGGTTGGTGTTATCATTTGGAGGTAACTAAATATACATTACTCATATTTACAGGGGGTTTGTGTAGGTCGTTCTGACGGTACGTTACAGGCAGTGTCCTCACAGTGCAGACACACTGCTGAGTCCCTGCAGTCCCACCCCTCCCTGCCCCCTGCCTGTAGAGCCACAAAGGCTGGAAAGGACCTCTGAGATCATCAGTTCCAACCATCACCACTAAACCCTGTCCCAAGGGGCCACGTCCACATGGTTTTTGAGCCCCTCCAGGGCTGGGGACTCCAGCACCTCCCTGGGCAGCCTGGGCCAAGGCCTCACCACTCTGCCAGGGAAGAAATTCTTCCTGATATCCAATCTAAACTTCCCCTGGGGCAGCTTGAGCCCATTGCCTCTCAGCCTATTGCTGGGTCCCTGGGAGCAGAGCCTGACCCCCACCTGGCTCCAGGCTGCTGGCAGGGTATTGCAGAGAGCCAGCAGGTCTGGCATTTACAGGTAACTCTTCTTCCTTCCAGGTGAAGCTGCAGAACAACATCTCCTATCAAATGGCTGACATACATCGGTTAAAGGGTAAGGGATCTGTGCCCAAGCTTGAACGTGGCAGACAGCTCTGAAGTTTTGTCTTTTTTAACTGCCTAGGTGCTGCAGAATACATTTTAAGGGAAAGATCAAGTGGTGCAGGAGCCTCATGTAACGTGAGATTTCAGTAGGTTTGTCTGGGTTGGTTCTCACTGGCTCTGCTCTCCTGTCTGCAGCAAGAACAAGTGTTCTGGCATCACCTAATTCCAAGATATTAGATTCATTTTCATGACCAAATTTAATTTAGTACAGTTTGGATCAGCAACGTTGTGATATGCTGGGTTAGAAAAGGTCCAGAGAACATCTTTTAAGGCAGATCTCTGGAGACAGAGTTACAACACCTGTAGTGTGGCGTGTGGGCTTCAGAGCAGCCTGGAGCAGCTGCTGCCAGGGTTCAGTCCTGCCTGCAGACAGAGTGCTTGGCGTTTCTGCCTCCAGCTGTGGAGGCACAACTTCAAATAGTAGGAAGCTTAACAATTATTTGTAGCCTGAGGGAGAAGAACTTCTAGAACAATTCCTTCTGGAGACAGGAAATGTGTTTGGTTTATGGATAGTGAGAAGGTGCCTTCTTTTGTATGGTTATGGCAGAAAAAGGATGTTTGACCATTTTGCCTAAAGTAACCTTGTAGTATTTTTATGTTACTTGGAATAACAGACTCTTTCAGGAAATCAGGGAGATTTCCAACAGATAGGTGACATTGCATTGTGTGAGAGTTGTGAATGAGAAGGTACAGAAAAGCTTTGGGGTTGTGGTTTAACAGCAGCTGGCTGCTCACTCCCTCCCCCAGCCCTGGTGGGGTGGGAAAGAAAATCCAGAGAACAGTGAAACCCAGGGGCTGAGATAGGAGCAGTTTAGTACCTAAACTAAAATAAAAATAATTGTAATGAAAGGAAGCTGACAAAAAAAGAGAGAAATAAAGCCCAAGAAAGACAAGTGAGACATAGTACGACTGTTGACCACGTGCTGACCAGTGCCCAGGCAGTCCATGAGCAGGGATCAGCCCCTCCCAGCTATCTCCCCCTAGTTTCTATACTGGGCATCATGTCCTATGTTGTGGAATATCCCTTTGGCCAGTTCAGGTCAGCTGTCCTGGCCACGAACCCTCCCAGCTCCTTGTGCTCCTCCTCCTAACCCATCAGCGTGTTGCCAGTGTTGTTTCACACCAAATCCAAACCACAGACTGAACCAGACACTGGGAATAACACAGGTTTCATTCCTTAGTCCAGGGGCCATCCCTGTAGCTGTCCATGGAGCTCACTCAGTCCATGGCTTTGGGCTCCACCCGTCAGGGCAGGAGCTGTGGGGAGCAGGGTTGGGCTCCTGCCCAGTGACACCAGTTGTAGTTCACAGTGAGTCTAACACGACTAAACTGGCCTTTTTTTCAAGTTAGTCTAAGAATCTTTGAAGTCTGTCTAGAAGAAGTAACAAAAGGTGAGCAAACGTTTAACCCAGAGAGCACTCCTGGAAGCTGCTGCTGCTGGGAGGTTTCTCTCCTGTTTCTGCACTGCTGCTGAGTTGTGCTGCTCTCCCCTAGAACAACTGGCAGAGTTACGTCAGGAGTTCATTCGCCAGGAGGATCAGCTTCACGAGTACAAGAAGAACAACACCTACCTCACCAAGAGGCTGGAGTATGACAGGTATGTCCCCAAGGGTGTTAGTCACCTGGGGAGGGGGGGTAATGGAGGTCTGGGTTTATTTAAAAGGGCAAATTAATCCTGTTTCTGCCAATCCTCAAACTGGAGTGTCCCAGCTTGCTGGTGTAACGTTGACTTAGCAAGCTGTTTGATTTGAAAGTTGTAGTCTCTGTGCTCTGCTTCTCCCACGAGGTGAGTTATGAGCTAAGAAAAACCTGACTTAGTGGAATAGTTCAGCAAAGGACAATTTTAAGTCTATGTGGTTTTTTATAACTTAGAGTTCTTGGTTAGCCAATATGGGAGGATTTTAATCAGCACATTCTTTAAGCTGCCAGGTTGTTAATTGCTGTCTTTCTAAAAGTGCAATGTTATATTTTTCCACTGAAGTTGAAAGCATTGTGTAGAGTGACTTCTTAAGTTGATCTTGGCCTTTTCAGTTTATGGTGGAGAAGCTGGGAAAAAACTATGTCTAAATCTTGAAGGAATAGGAGAGATTAACACTTGAGACAATGCCTGAAGCTTCCACACCCACAAAAATATTCTTTACTCTGTGTGCTGTGTTAAGTATTTGTGGGAGGCAGGAGTTTTGAATTGGGATGATGTCGTTCTTTCTTTCTGTAAGAACTGGGACACTTCATTGTGTCATTTGCTGAATGACAGCTACAGCTCCCTGACAGGAGCCTGGAGCCAGGGGGGGGTCGGGCTCTGCTCCCAAGGAACAAGGGACAGGACAAGAGGAAACGGCCTCAAGTTGCCCCAGGGGAGGTTGAGGTTGTCCCTGAGGAACAACTTGTTCCCCTGGAGGGTTGCCCAGGGCTGTGCCAGGCTGCCCAGGGCAGTGGTGGAGTCCCCACCCCTGGAGGGGTTTCCAAGCCGTGGAGATGTGGTGTGAGGGACATGGTTTAGCAGTGGGCTTGGTGCTGTTAGGTTAGCAGTTGGTCTCTATGGTCTTTTCCTACCAGAACGATTGTGTGACTCAGATCTCAGGAGCTGACCCAGTTCCCAGGCAGTGGGGCAGTAGCAGCAGTGACTGACAGTAGTACTTGTATCTCTGCTGCGTTGACAGCCGTGGGAGATACATCCCCTTTCTGGTGGAATTAGTACATGCTGTTGACAGATTAACTGTGAAGCTTGACTTTTTGGTTGCTTTCCAAGTTTTGGAGGAAATATGTTCAAGGCCATTCTGTTTATTTTACTGTTTTTCTGCTCTGTTCCTGTTTTTTCCCGTTCTTTCTTTCTGTATTCAGCCCGTTTCCTCTCCACACACATTCGGGATGAGGGTTTTTGGACAGACCATCCTAGTTACACCTCAGCTTTGGCTTTTTGTGCCACTTCATATTTTTCCCCCTATTTTATTTATGGAAGAGCAGATGCAACAAATGAAATACAACTAATAACGTGTTTCTAATCAAGTCTGCAGTGTGGGCAGCAGATAAAGGAAATGAGACTGCAACATGAAGAGAACATGAAGAAACTAATGGACCAAGTTGCACGGGAGCAAAAGGTAATGAGCAGCTGAGTTTCTCTGTTGAATTAGAAGAGCCTGAAGTCTGCTGTTTGGTTTTGATCTGGCTTGGTTTGGTCAGCATTCAGATATATGGAAGCCCTGGACATTTCTCCCCTAGCCTTTTGTTAATGGATGTCCTGAGCAGCCCAAAATGGGTCCTCGTGTCAGGACATCTGCCTCTGTGGCTCAAGCAGTGAACTGAGCCTTGAAGATCAGACTTAATTCTCCCTCTGCTGCAGCCTTCCTACATGACATCATTGCTAAGGATTTCCATTTCTCCTCTGTATAATGGATATTAGTTTAGAGCTCTCTGGGGTGGGATCTCTGTCCTCACAGCCTCACACAGGGTATTGCAGAGGGGAACCTGATCTCCACAGAGGCCTGGAGGTGCTAATGTGATGGGAGTAACGATGGGGTTTGCATGGTGTCAGGGCTGTAATTACATGGTACAAGCTGCCAGTGGAACATGGGCCTCTTGTACAGATGTGAAATAACCTGCTTCTGTTAAAAGTTCATTTCCTTCCTTCATCTCTGTTCCAAACATTTCAAATAAGACAGACTTGGAGCAGATTTCAATCACATCTTTCTAAAAATCTGGAATCGTTTCAAGGAGTCTGACCTGAGGCTTAAGGCTTTAACCTGGTTGTGTTACACTTAAGAGCTGTGGAGGCTGATACAGATGTTGTACAGCTGGACCATATCTTCCACTTTGTGGTCAGTTATGTGTCCACAGTCTTGTCTCCTCTTGGGTTTGCATATAGGGCACTTGTGCTGTTCTTTGCTTTGGGGAACAACTAACTCATAAACAGGATTTTGCTTACCTGAAGTCATCCTGAATTTGAGGGTATTTGTTTTGTAGTGCCCAGGGATGTGCTTACTTTGGTTCCTCATGAACTTGTTCTAACAGGCCACAGAGAAAATTCAGTCCAGTAAAGATGCTGAAGTAAATCCCAGTAATGATGACCAGGCAGTATCCAAGAGTGTTCCAGAGGCAGAAGATAAAAACACAGTCAAGAGTGAGCAGCCTTCAGATCATGTTGTAAACAGCAAAGGTATTTCCTTTTTTTTTGTCATTTCTGATAGATCCTGGGGCAGTGGTGGCACAGGCTTTGCTGTCACCTAGGAACATGTATCTGCAGCAGAGCAGGGGCTGCCTGGGGCCGATGACATGAGCAGCTGCATGTGGTTCTGCTCAGTTAGAGTTCATAGGTACCAGAGACTGGCCTGGCCTGTCTCTGGGGCCTTCTATGAAAGTAGCTCCTTGTGCAGTTCTCTGTTCACTTGGCATCTCCTTCCTTGTGTGGCCAGGTATGACCTGGGGGTGGCCCCTCTGCTCATGGAGTGCTGGGGCAGCTCTGGAGTCCTCAGCACAGCAGAGCCAGGGACCTGCTGGAGCGGGGCCAGAGGAGCCCCAGCAATGCCCCGAGGGGGGAACCCCTCTGCTGGGAGCCCAGCAGGAGAGAGTTGGGCTGGGGCAGCTGAGAGGAGAAGGCTCCAGCTGGGGAGACCTGCTGGGGACTGCCAGGGGCCTGCCAGAAAGCTGTGGACAGACTGTGGAGCAGGGGCTGTGGGGACAAGGGGGATGGTTTGAAACTCAAAGAGGGAGATTAGAGTAGAGAGAAGGAAGAAATGTTTCACACTTAGGGTGGTGAGCCCCTGTCCCAGGCTGCCCAGAGAGGTGGTCGCTGCCCCATCCCTGGCACCATCCCAGGTGAGGTTGGCCGGGGCTCTGAGCACCCTGCTCTAGCTGCAGATGTCCCTGCTCCCTGCAGGGGTTGGACTGGGTGACCTTGAAAGGTCCCTTCCCACCCAAACCTGTCAGGGATTCTCCCTGTGGGATGTGTCTGGGGGTGAGGTAGGGAAGGGGGTGTGTTGTTGGAGAGCTGGACTCTGCACAGAGGAGGTGGCTGGAGGTGAGGAGTGCTGAAAGCTCTGTGAGGAGTCTGGCTGGGTCAGTCAGCAGGAGCAGTGGGCACCTTGGCTTGTCAGGAGCTGTACGGGAGGCTCTCGGTGAGTAACTGGTGCACTTGTGTCCTCCTTGCAGGCCTCTCCAAGAGGCAGATGGGTTTCCTTTGTTTCTATTCCTTGTGCTGCTGACTCAGCAGCACCTTTTTGGGTCTGTTCTTCCAAGAGCAGTGTGTGTGCTTCCCATGCTCCTTTGAGGGTCGTGCTGACTCCGAGAGTGCTGCTCCAAAGCTGCCCTCGGAGACTCCGACAGCACGATGTAGGGAGTGGTGTTGCATTACCAGTGTGGGACCTCTTCTGTGGGTAAAGGACTCTTCTTCTGGTCTTAGAGCCTTCCTGGGGAGGGAAGTTCATGGTTCAAACGCCCAGGTTAATAAGGCAGAATATCCTTTCCTTGTCTTACAGAGAAAATGAAACCAGGAGGAGATGCCGGGATGCCGGAGATAGAAGATAACGACCCTGCTAAAGCTGAAGATACCCCCACTGGTGAGGAGAACTGTCCTCATGCTTTCTACACATGTAGAAAAAAAAAAATCCCCTTTGGCTTCTTGGGGATGTGTAGATTCTGTCTGAATACCACGTTTCATAGCGACTGCAGAGGTTTAACATGTGACTATGGCAATAAAATTGAACTGGACTGTGAAATCAGATCGTTTTTACTGTGCTTTACAGATTTGAACTCTCAAACCTGAATGCTTCTAAGAATTTTTTTTTTTATCCCAGAAATTTTGCATTTTATATTTTCATCTGTGGTTTAAAAAACAAGAAAACGGAACCAAAAAAAAAGTTTACAGGATTGTTAGAGGAAGACCTGGTATGTGGTGTGTGTCTGTTTCATGCTAATGCTTTTGTCCATGTGTTTTGTTTTAGCTCTAAAGAAGCCACTTATTTCAGCTCCTAAAAGTGAAGGTCATGAACCCGTTGTAAACCTCCTGACTGAACAGCCTCATGCACCAAATCTGGCACCAGGTAAAATTCCTATTAGCAGGTGACATGTCAACATTTTGTAGGAAACTACCATTTAATATCTGCTGCCTTATCATCAGTGTTAGAGAGAGGTGCATGGCCAGCCCCACTTCTGGGTTTGATGTACTTAAAAAAAACCAGAAAACCAGCAATATCTCAGGCTCCAAAGTTGGGTGTGTTCTTAGTCTGACTCCTGAGGCACTGAGGGTGCTGGTTGTCCCATCTCTTTTCCTGCCCCACACACCCAGGAATTTCTGAGCTTTCTGACCAACTTCAGCCAAATTTGAGAGTTAGAAGTTTCAAAGCTAAATGCTTCAAGATTTCTCCATGAGACAAGGGAGAGGAATTGAAATTAGTGTTCCTTCTTAGGAGTGCTAATTAGACAGGACTGCAAAATATCACCAGGGGCTGATTGGTAGCCAGTTACAGTCAGAGTTTAAACAGTGGTACAGTCCCTTGCTCAGTGTCCTGCTGCTGTCATCAGCTCACTTGAGGATGATTTAGGGGAGGGTTAGGACATGAGAGAACTAAAAGTCCTGCACTGATGGGGTTTAGAAGAATTGCAGTTAGAGAGAACACAAATCAATAGAAAATAAACATAATGCTTGTGGGTCAAGTCCCTTGAGCCAAAGTGTCGACGAGAACGTTGGGTTGGATCTGCCCTGCAAGCAGCATGTTAGACACTGTCCTGCATTACATGTAATGTACTTGTTACATATTGGTGATGTGACACCAACTGCCTGGAGGTTTTTGTTATGCCCATTATTGATTCTTTTGAAAAAAGGCAGCGGAATTATTTCTTGATTTCTCTCCTTTTGCAAGGGATGTGTAAGCAGGTTAGAATACCAAAATGAGTGAGCTGAAAGTCTGTAGACTCACTTAAAGTTTGGTATTTCCAAATGTCATGTCTTCTCAAGAGCTTGTTTCTTTTTCTTGTTCTGAGGTAGTCCTTAATTTTGACTTTTATGAATGAGAAAACAGAAAAGATAGCAAGTGAAAAGTTTTCTTCATTGGATTTAGAGTTTATCATCAGAAGCGTGATGTGAGTTTTGAGGGGACTGGGGTTTTCTGTAGTCCTGTGATTCTGATTATTATTTTTAGCATAAGTTCTTTGACCTGCTGCAACCTTCTCAGATCATAGGTTTTTGAAGCAAATGATGCTTAGTAGGTTTGAAAAGCAGAATCGCCAGGAGAATAAAGTAATATGTAAACCTATTGTTCTGGGCTTCATCAGGCACGTAAGTACATACAGAAAATGAGCTGAGAAGGGACTTGGTGTAACAATTACATATGGAAACGTGATGGGTTATCTTCAGTGGTAATGTTTGAGCCTTCTTTGGACCCAGACCAAACCCTCTTCCCTGACACCCAGACCAAACCCTCTCCTTGGCCTGCAGGTGTGCCCAGTGACACCGAGGAGAACGCTGACGTCGCGAAGCAGATCCCTCCAAATTCCCTCCAGCACTTACAGTTTGAAGAAAACGTGGAAAATCAGAAAGAGCACAAAATTGAGACAGACCACATAAAAATCCCAAAGAGCAGAGTTAGTGACCTGCAGAAGATGAAGCAAAGTAAGTTGGCCAGTATCTTCTACCTCAGTATATTGAGAAGGTTGCTGTGTTTGCTGTCTGTGATGATGCCTGTCTGGGAAATAGGAACCATCACAGTGGGCAGACTTCTGGAGAGCAGGCCTGAAAAGAGATGGGATATGTGACTGTGCAAAGGGCATGCCTCAAGGTGTCATCTCTCATAGATAGAGTCAGTCATTAAAAAAACAATTTGCTTACAGGGATTTAAAATGGTTTGGAAATTACTACACACTTACATGGATTAAGTCGAGAATTTTGATACTTGCATGATGCCAAGTCACTTATATTCACTCTGTGTATGAGGTTTTGGGCAATATTGTAAGAGTTCAGGCCTTACCCTGCAGGTCTCTGTGGTGGTATTTGTGTACTGGCCAGAGGTTTGTTCTTCTGTGTGAGGAAGTTTTCCAGTGTCTGCTCAAGGAAGAAGCCTTCAGCCAGGGGTGGTCCTCTGTTTGTTTGCTGTGTGTGCTGGAGGTGGGAGCACTGAGGCTCAGTGGGCACACAGCAGGGGAGGACCTGCAGGTACACCTACAGCTGTCTGTGGCCCCTGGGCTTGGAGATGAGTCTCTACCCCAGAGCTGATACCATGAGTAGGGAGAGTGCTAAGACTGCAGTGTGTGATTTCATTTAGCATCTTCCTATAGAACCAAACTTTATGAGGAGCAACTGAGGGGCCTGAGGGTGTGTCCTGGTTAGGGGTAAATAGAGCTGTTTCTGCTCAATGATTTTACTTTTTAGCTAAAGCTCTTCTAATTCACTGCTCTGTCTGAAGTTAGCAGCATTTTCATAAGCTGTCTGGCTTTAGCAGTGATCAGACTTCATGTTTAGAGTTACTGCCAGGGATTGGTGTGCAGACAAAGGCCACTGCTGAGCTTGGATCCCACACAGTGTGAGGCAAGTGAGGAGGCTCAGGGGAGACCTTCTGGCTCTGCACAGCTCCTGACAGGAGCCTGGAGCCAGGGGGGGGTCGGGCTCTGCTCCCAAGGGACAAGGGACAGGACAAGAGGGAACAGCCTCAAGTTGCCCCAGAGGAGGTTGAGGTTGTCCCTGAGGAACAATTTGTTGCCCTGGAGGGTTGCCCAGGGCTGTGCCAGGCTGCCCAGGGCAGTGGTGGAGTCCCCACCCCTGGAGGGGTTTCCAAGCTGTGGAGATGTGGTGTGAGGGACATGGGGCAGTGGGGACCTGGCAGTGCTGGGGAAGGGTTGGACTCCAGGATCTGAGAGGTCTCCTCCAACAGCTACTACTGCTGAGTGTTAGTCTGGAGCCTGTACAGCATACACTGACTAGGTATAGCTTAACTTAGTTGTTTTTAAAGAACTCATTCCAGTTCTGTCATTTGGGTGGGCAGGGAGCATTTGCAAAAAAAAAACATAGTGCTGAAACATCTCTTCTTGGTTTTCTTTATCCAAATAAGATCTTTCATTATATAAATACTATAAATTCAACTTTAAATGTCTTTGTACTCACAGCTAAGTAGCTCTCACTTAAGCTTTGGGTTGTATGTTTAAAATCTTTCTGAACACCAAGCTGACAAGTTATTACATTAGAACAGCCATCTTCAGAGTCATGAGAATTGGGAGGGAACATAAGATTCTAGAGCCTCCTGCCAGAAACCTGTTTTAATTCTGTGGCTCAGATAAACAGTGGTACAGAAATAGCTATTTTATTGAAACTGGATGATGAATTGGTTTCAGTGATCAGTGAAGAGAATTCTGAATGCTGGGGTCACTTTCAGGAACAGGAAGATGTGAATTCACCCCTATCATAATGGGAACTTCCCAAACTAACCCTTGTGCTAGAGTTGAGTTGTTGTGGTTCCTTTTTGTGGTCTAGAACTTGATAGAACTTGACTGGTGAGTCTGTAGATCAGAGAAATTGCAGGGAAAAAAATCTTAACCTCTAGCAATCTCTTTAAATATATGGGAAGTAAGAGAAATAAGTTTAAAATGATACTCCAGTTATTCTTGTAAAATGTTTTAGCTGCTCTTCTGAAGCAGAGGTTGGATTCCAATGGGCTGTGAGCAGGTAGGTGTGCTGCTGGAGGGCTGTGGGGGTGTGATGGCATACAGGGAGTGAAAGCTCAGTGCATTCCCTCCTGTGCCCCCCACACCCTGGTAGCCCTGCAAAGGTCAGGGCTGAAGCCTGTAGATAGTGTCAGGCCTTACCTGAGAGGGTTGAGAAGGTACCTGGAATGATTTGGGCAGAGGGGAAGGTAATGAAGCTCAACAAGGGCAAGTGTAGCTTGTCTCCACCTGGGGAGGAATAACCTCCTGCTCCAGTACAGGTGAGGCTGCCCTGCTGGGAAGCAGCTCTGCAGGAAAGGACCTGGGAGTGCTGGTGGGCCACAGGTTAACCATGAGCCACCAACCTGCTCTTGTAGCCAAGAATGCCAGTGGTCTCCTGGGGTGCATGAAGAAGAGTGTGGCTAGCAGGTTGAGAGAGGCTCTTCTTCCTCTTTACTCTGGCCTGGGGAGGTCACCTCTGGAGTGTTGCATCCAGTTGTGGGCTTCCCAGTTCAAGAGAGACAAGGAGCTACTGGAGAGTCCAGTGGAGGGTAAGGAGATGCACAGGGGCCTGGAGCATCTCTGTGCCAGGACAGGCTGAGAGCCCTGGGGCTGTGCAGCTGGAGAAGAGAAGATTTAGGGGGGATCTGATCAATGCTGAGCAGGAGCTGAGGGAGGGAAGAAATGAAAACAGGGTTTAGTGGTTGCTTGTTTGGTTGCTTATGTGGTTGATTGGTTGCTTGCTTGGTCAGTTGGTTGGTTGGTTTGGGCTTTTTAAGAAACAGATCTTTAGGGAACACTTCAGTTCTTTTACTGCCATTCCTGGATGATCTTGTTGAAGTAGGGATAGGTGTGTTCAGAACTGGGGAGCAACCTGTGCAGGCTTTGCTTCCACTCTGTGTATCCCCAGATGTATGAGGCTGTTGAGTTTATCAAAGGAGCTTCCTGAAGATCCTGCACTTGTCTGGCCGAGTGACTGCAGATGAAACTGCAGAGCTTCCTGCTTCAGCAGCTGGGGTTTCAGTGGGTTGGCCTCTCTGTGAGGGGGGCTGGCAGTGTGGGCAGGAGTGGGGCTGGAGGGGCTGTGCTGTAGGCTGGCAGGGGTACCCGACTAGGCCATAGCCTCTGGTCAGTCCCTTTTCTTTGCCCCTTCCTGTTTGGAACAGCTGACAGGGCAGGATGTGACGGTGCAGTGAGGGGCAGAGTTCCTCTGTCACCTACAGAAACAGCCCATCCAGGCTGGTAGATGTCTGTCCTGGCTGCTCAGAGTGGCCAGTCAGAGAGGCCCTGGGGCAGATCCTCGTGCAGCCCCCTGCAGAGCTTCCTGTGCATGGACCTGAGGGATGAGCTCGGGGCTTCTGTCACCTCCGTCTGCTTTCAGAATCAGGAAACTTCTTCCCCCAGAATATTCCCATTCCTATTTTGATAGTGTAGGTTCAAGAAGGAGCTTCAGTGCTAGGCACAGCCAGGGGCACGTTGCGGCCGCTGGGTTTCCAGAGCAGGACCCGAAGGTGACACAGCCACCCCACGAGCTGTGCTGGCACCTGGCACCCCAGGGCAGGGCTGGGTGCAGCCAGCCCGGGGGGTGCTGCTGGTCAGAGCTGCTCTGTGGGTGTGAGCACCTGGACACTGCTCCCAGTGGTGAGCTCACAGGGACCCAGCCTTCAGTTGCACCCCACGGGGGCCTTCAGGGTGCGTTTTGGCAGACGCTGCCTGCAGGCTTCCCCTGGGGGCTTGCTGGGTTCCCAGGGATCTCTTCCTCAGATTTACCCTTTCCTTCTCACGTTTATTCCGTGCTTGTTTGTCAGGGGGTGTCTGGCACATCTGCAGCCTTGGTGTGCCTCCAAGTGAAGCTCATCCGTTGTCTCTTCACAGCGTGTTTTATCTTTAACAAGTGCATATTGTACCATTCTGCTGCTTTTTACATGGAATGCAGGGTCCAAACCATTGACAGTGGCAGTGAGCATTACCCAGTTAGAGAGGGGAGAGGATGAACAATGCAGTGAACTTCTGATTTCCAAACAGATCATCGTTTCTTCGTGCTTGTTTTGTGAAAATAACCCAAACGTCTGTTTCTGTCCCTTTGAGCTGCACTAGATGTGGCTCTTCTGCTTTTCCTCCCCACCCAGCTACACTCTGGGCTTTTGTTTCTCTCCTGAGTTTTATGTACTGCTGCATATGATCACTTTCTCCATTTTAAGAAAATTTCATTTTTTACCTCTGTCCATTGTCACCCCAAGCTCATTTTTAATCCTTATGTCAAAATCATATCCTCCAGTTTTCCCTCTTGGTTTAATTGCCTCCACTGCGAGTCACCATCTGCCTCAGCAGACTGTTTTCTCAGCCTGTTTCCAGTCTGTAAAGATTGTATCACACTTTAATCCTATTTTTTTTTTTTTTTCATTTCTACATAATCCCTCCAGACTCAGGTCTTCTGCAGGCTCAGTGTTGCATTCTTTAAGCAGCCTGAACCGTGCTGGACTTGAGCAGATCTCCTTGTATCCCATTAAACACCAGCCCTGAGCTTCACTTGCCTCCTTCCTTGTGTTCTTGGCTGACTGTCTCATCATCTCATAGTTCAGCTAATTCTCATTTTTCTTGCACATTGTTTCAGTATCTGGAACTAGTCTTAATTCTTCGGGAGACTAAAATTCTGGGTTCAGAATGTGTTGAAAACTGTTAAAGCTTAATAGGGAACCAGAGTGTAAAGCCAAATCAATGAGATGGTTAAAGAATTGGTTGAGAGAGGCAGGGCAGGTCTCTGCTGGGTTTTTACCCTTGCCAGCACAGTCCATGCCCTGCAGAGATCCCCAGCTACAAGGTGGTCGCTCCTTTGTGTGCAGACAGGAGCCAGTCCTCTGCCAAAAAAAAGTCTGGATACAAGAGCTTCCCTGGGTGTTCTTCAGCACCTGCAGAAAGCTTTGCTGAGTGCCTGTAGGTAACCAACACCAGAGCTGTTTGTTGGGTTGCTGACTTTGGCTCCTCACTCTGAAGAGTGGAGCTCAGAACAACCAGATGTCACAAGCTCTGGGCTCCGAGCGACCGAGGACATCCTTTGTGGGATGTTTGCCCTGCCCATGCCCTGTCCCCTCTCCCCTGTCTCCTCCAGCTGACACTACAAACCCCGACTGCCCTAACCTGCAGTCTGCTTTCGGTGAGAACCTTCCTGTTTCTTTCCTCTCTGCTTCTGACTTAATCCTTTGCCTACTTCACAGGCCGGTTCTTTGATGAGAATGAGTCCCCTGTTGATCCGCAGCAGGGCTCTAAACTGGCAGATTATAATGGGGATGATGGTAACGTGGGTGAGTATGAGGCAGACAAACAGGCCGAGCTGGCTTACAATGAGGAAGAGGATGGTGATGGTGGAGAAGAAGACGTCCAAGGTGAGCTTGGGCCTTGTCTCCATCCCATTGTGACAACACCCACGCCGAGCTGACTTGTTGAATTTGTGTAAAGCCTCGCTGGCGTGAGCTGGTGGCAAACTGCTGGTGCAGAATAAGAGGCTGTGGGCAATCTGGGCAAGGAGCTTTGCTCCCCACTGGACATGGGGTGCTGGCCGTGGGCAGCAAGGGCTTCACACACCTCGCTGGGTGGAGAGCTGCTAGAAGCTCACACTTCAGCCATGGCCTTCTGAGCTGGCACCTGCCTCGGTGGGCTCTGATCTTGGCATCACCAAGGCAATGTTCAAACACAGAAGCAAGGTTTTCAGTCTGGTGCTTCTGTCACTCCTGCCTCAAGGCCGTTTGCCACAGGGGCTCCGTTGGCCAGTCCAGTGTTTGTGCATGGTACACAGATTCAACAGGCTCCTGGTTTTCCTTGCTAAACACACTTCCACCCTGCCTAACCCCCGGGTGTGCATGTTCACCCCGTCCGTCCCGCCTGCCTCTGCCCTGCTCCATCTCACTCTGTGCTCTCCTTCTGTGCAAGGGTTGCATGTCTGCAAGGTGGAGATGTCTGTGTAAACCCACAGAGCATATTTCCAGTCAAGGAAACTGCAAGATAAAGAACGAGGGGAAAAAAAAAAAAAACCAAAAACAACTGTTGAAGTTTTCTTGCGGTTTGGGAGACCTTCTTGTGGGCAGTATCTGAAGGAGGCCTACAAGAAAGCTGGGGAGGGATTTTGTACAAGGGCTTGTAGGGGTAGGATGAGGGCCAATGGCTTCACACTGCAAGAGGGGAGATTCAGGTTACATGTAAGGAAGAAGTTCTTCACTCTGAGGGTGGTGAGACCCTGGCCCAGGTTGCCCAGGGAAACTGTGGATGCTCCATCCCTGGAAATGTTCTTCAAGCCCAGGTTAGATGGGACCTTGAGCAACCTGCTCTAGTGGGAGGTGTCCTGCCCATGGGTGGGGGGTTGGAATGAGGTGATCTTTGAGGTCCCTTCCAACCCAAACCTTTCTGTGATTCTGTGAAGTTCTACAGACACTCTGGTTTTGATCCTCATAATGCAAGTTTTTTAGCTGCTAGTTTTTCAGACCTGCAATTAATCGGTATAATTAATGGGAGAAGCTGATAAAAAGCAGCTGATTTCTGGGGACACACATGGAACTGTGCAGTGTAAGCATCTGGGGCTGGGCTGGTAGCTTGAAATCCATGAACAAGCAAAAGAAAAGTATGGATCAGAACCCTGGGAAATTAATTAGCTTTCTGATAAAACTGAAAGCTCTGTTGTGGCTCCAGAAGATGTGCCCTGTTTTAATACGCTTCTGCCCCAGACCAGCAGCAGATTTTAGTCTCCTTGTACTGCTGGTGCCTGTTTCTCTGGGTGGGTTGTTACTGGTCTGGGGTTTGCTTGTACAAGCCTCCTTCTAACTGGAGGTACCCAGCTATGCAAGGCTGCTCCTGCCAGTGCTGTGGGGTGGGGGAGTCACTTCTGGTGGCTCTGGTGGGTGCTGAAGAGGAGGTGGGAGGTCAGGGCGTGGTGCTGTCTGAGCTCTGCGCTGCTGCAGCTCGGAGCAGATCTCAGGACTTGCCTGGGTTCAGTCCCCGTAGCAAGGGTGACAAGCCAGGAGTGACACCCAGCTCCTCACCATCACCCTTCCTTAGCTGGGCTGCAGAACACAGCTCTGGAGGCTTTCTGGAGGCTTTGGCCACCAGTTCCAGTGGGGCAGTTGCCTTTGGGCTCGTCGTCACCAGCAGCCCAGTGCTGCGACAATCTGCTGAGCAGCAGGGTGCTGCCATGGCTTCAGGCAGCAGGAGTGAGTACCTGCTGTGCTGCAAAGTCTTCCCAGCAACAGGAACAGTGTTCCTGGGTGCCACTCGGGAAAGGGGGGGTGAGAGACCTTGAGGGACCTTCTCCTCTCCCTGTACTCTGCCCCAGAGAGGCCACCTCGGGAGTTTTGTGTCCAGTGCTGGGCTCCCCAGTTCCAGAGAGACCAGGAACCACTGGAGAGAGTCCAGCAGAAGACATGGAGCTGCTGAGGGGCTGGAGCATCTCTGTGCCAGGACAGGCTGAGAGCCCTGGGGCTGTGCAGCTGCAGAAGAGAAGCCTCAGAGGGGATCTGAGCAGTGCTGAGCCAGAGCTAAAGGGCCCCGGGGGGCAAGAGGCTGGGGCCAGACTCTGGTCAGTGGTGCCAGTGACAGGACAAGGGGCAACGGGCACCAACTGGAACCCAGGAGGTGCCACCTGAGCAGGAGGAGAAACTTCTTTGGTGTGAGGGTGCAGAGCCTGGAGCAGCTGCCCAGAGAGGCTGTGGAGTCTCCTGCTCTGGAGAGATCCCAAACCCACCTGGCTGTGACCCTGGGCACCTCTGTCTTTAAATTTGGACTTAGGGGGAAACCTTTTTTCTGATCCACCCCTCTGTATATCTATATAGACATAATGGATTTAATATCAGGTTTTGAATATTAAAGTCTTTTGGGAGCCTTTCCATGAAGAGCAGTGAGCAGTGTATGTTGCTGCCTCAGGCTTTGTTTTCCTAGCCATTTTTTCTGTTGTTTCCTAATAACTTGTTGACTTGATTTGACAGAAGTCAGTGTGGCCGGTGGTGCTTCCAGAAGCAGAAGTGTCTGCTTTAATCTTTACACTGATTGGTTTGAGGGGTAGGGGAGGGACAAATTGGGGGGGTTCAGTTGGAGGGTGGTTGTAATTGTTTAGAGAGGAGGGGAAAAAAAAACTCTGAATTTCTGTCTAAAAACTATTAGAAAAACATCACATGGTTTTGCATCAGGCTAGAACAAATGTGGCATGTGCAAACAAAGCAGTTTAATGAAACATGTTTTTCTGTTGCCACTAGAAATGTGTGGGCCTTGGGCTGAAATTATCAGAGGAAAATACACAAATGTGGGCTACAGGCTCTGGGGCTGTTGGGATCCCACGTGGATCCTGCTCCCGGTCACCTGCTTCGGGGCAAGGGGGGGTGGAAAAGCTCTGGGCTCCTGCTGGAGTCAAGATGCTGTGGTGGCTGGGTGGTGGAGGATTATAGAAGTCAAGTGGTACCCACTTGCACTGCTGGTAATTTCTTCCCAAAGAAAGGCTCGTGTTGTGTAGAACAGCCTCAGGCCTTTGCTCTCAGAACTGGTCGCAGTTGGGTCCTTCCTTTGTGTGCAGGCTGGTGGGTAACTGGTGTGGAAGTGTTGAAGAGCTTCAGACAGTTTTATCTTCTGGAAAAGTAACCTTAAGCTTTGCTTTCCAAACGAGCCTCTCCTGAGAGTAGAGAACAGCTTTGAAACACAGGGGAAGCTCATTAATGGGAACAAATGGGACTTGTGAACAGCCTCGAGTTGCCCCAGGGGAGGTTGAGGTTGGCCCTGGGGAACAATTTGTTCCCCTGGAGGGTTGCCCAGGGCTGTGCCAGGCGCCCCAGGGCAGTGGTGGAGTCCCCACCCCTGGAGGGGTTTCCAAGCCGTGGAGATGTGGTGTGAGGGACACGGGGCAGTGGGGACCTGGCAGTGCTGGGGGGTGGCTGCACTCGAGGAACTGAAGGGTCCCGGGCTGAGGGGTCCTGGGCGGGTCTGTTCCAGAGGGTGTTTGACCCTGCAGCAGCGCTGCAGCAGCCGGGTTTCTGCTGGGGGCTGAGGGGGAAGGTTCAGAGCTGCCTCTTACGGCCTTAAAAGTATCTCTTCAGATGTTACCCCCAAGCCCAAGGTGGGAGGTTACAGGAGGTACAGACGTTGTTGGTGCAAGGGTCCCATCGCCGGGGAAGGTGCTGGCGGGGTTGTGGGGAAGGTGCCACCCTTGTGCCCCGAGGAGGGGGTGGGAACACTTCCCTCAGCCCGGGGCTCCCGGGCGAGGGGCTGGCTGTGCAGCTCGGGGGCTGGCAGTGCCTGCGGGCAGGCTCTCAGCTGTTGTCAGTCGGTGTACGTGGCTCTGCAGCCTCCAGGTCAGTGGGTGGCAGGACCAGGGGTGCAGAGCAGGCCGGGCCCGCATGGCGGCGGCGAGGGCACAGCTGAATATTCCCTCAGCAGCGTCCCACCAGATCTGATCCCAGTGCTTTGATTGCAGACGATGAAGAGAGAGATCTGCAGAACGACCTGGTGGATTATGGCAAAAGCCGCTTCAGCAACGGCCCCCTGTGAGGCCTGGGGGGGCCTGGGCAGAGAGGAGCAGCCGGAGAGCCCGGGGTGCTGTGGGACTGAGCCCCTGCTCCCCCAGCGTGTGGTGCCCCCAGGGAGCAGCGCCGGGCTGGACCCAGCCCTCTACAGATGGACACACTTGTACTATCCCAGGTTGTATTAAACCCACATTTTTTTGTTGTTACATCGAGCCAGTTCCTTAGGCTGTACCTTATCTGTAATAAACCTTACGGTTAAAACCGATCTTATAAATAGGGGCTGAACTGCTTCAGCAAGTGGGAAACTTTGTAAAACGGGAGAACTTGTACAGTTTGTACCTCATGTAACAGAGACACTGTGGAAACAACGGACAGCCAAAGGACTCCTCCTGCGGGACTGCAGAGCTCCGGGGGCCGTGCTTTGCAGGAGAATGAAAACTGAACCATTAAACATTTCCTCCTCCTTTAATGGACCCGGGGAAGAGCCGGGCCACCCCCCTCCTCGGCCAGCCCCCTCCTCCCCAGCCCCCTCCTCGGCCTCACACACCACGGCAGTGCTGGAAATCGGCGACGTTGGAATTGGAACCATTTGATCCATCCTGGCAAAAGTTTCTTTTCAGAGGTCACGGAAAATAATCCAGCCCAGGTTTGTGGGGGTGTGGGAGAGGAGGGGCCGAGAGGAGCGGGGCTGGCCGGGGGAGCTGCCCCCTGCCCCCCGTGGTGCTCTCTCCCTGTCCTGCCCTCGCCCCTGTCACTCCAGGTAATTCCCAGTGTGGTCCTTTGGTCCTGTCCCATGGTCTGATGTCCTCTGTCAGAAGGTCTGTATTCGAGATCCTTTTTGTGTTCTGTGTTTAAGCACTTTCTGCATTTGCCAGAGGTGATTCTGTTGCTCCACAGTAGTGGAAATGAAGGTTTTTAACCCCTTTTTCTCCAAAAGGGCTACTGTGAAATGAAATCCAAGGGCCCCTGACATGGGTGATTGTACTTTATCTCCACACTCAGGCTGGGTTTGATCTAAGTTTGGGTTTACTCGATGCCAGTTCAGCAAACCTTTTACATCACTTTTCAGCAGTCATATAGTTTTAAAATTTTTTTTTCTATGGGGATCTTATACCAATCAAACCTACAAGAAATAAACATTTCAGATTCCAATGGTGCACCTCAAGGGGTAGTTTTTTGTTTCAGACTTGAGCTCTTCATTCCATACTCCTGGGAGGCAGGTGGGGAACAGCCCTTTGCATGGTGTGATGTACTCTCAGTTAAAAATAAAATGCTGAACCTGCTCAGAATTAGACACTGCACTAATACACAGCACCAGGATGAACCCGACAGGGACTCTGAGAGTAGCAGCCTTCAGTAAATACTGTATTTAAACGTTATAGATTTTTTGTCTTAAGATGTAATTACACCCTGAATTAGGTGTTAACTTCATTCTTCTAATGAAATCAACATTTATGGGTTCTAATAAATCGTTTAAAGTATGTGAAGCTTCTGGCTTTTTTTTTTTTTCTTTTGATTTTTTAAGGCTGCAGCGACTTGGGGCTGGGCAGGACTCAAGGCTCTGCAGGGGTGAGCTCCAGGCCTCCCTGGCTCTGTCACTCTGTCACCCTGCCACCACACCAGCTGCTTTTTGGCCAGTCCTCCCTCTGGGCTGCACCCACTGCCTCCAGCCCAGGAGCCTCCGAGACTTTGGGTCAAGCAAACGAGTTGCTGAGAAGGTGCATGAGGTGAAGGTAGGACAGAGGAGCTGCCCCGTGGTAAGTGCCTGCAGACATGCCCCTGGGGGGGCTCAGCAGCCTCCTGTGCTTATGGAACCAGGGGCTCACCACCCTCAGTGTCAAACATTTCTTCCCTCTCTCTAGTCTCAATCTCCCTCTTCTAGTTTCAAACCATCCCCCCTTGTCCTGTCCCAACAGCCCCTGCTCCAAAGTCTGTCCCCAGCTTTCTGGCAGGCCCCTGGCAGTCCTGGCAGCCCCCAGCAGGTCTCCCCAGCTGGAGCCTTCTCCTCTGTGGCTGCCCCAGCCCAACTCTCTCCTGCTGGGCTCCCAGCAGAGGGGTTCCCCCCTCGGGGCATTGCTGGGGCTCCTCTGGCCCCGCTCCAGCAGGTCCCTGGCTCTGCTGTGCTGAGGACTCCAGAGCTGCCCCAGCACTGCAGGGGGGTCTCCCCAGAGCTGGCAGAGGGGCAGGATCCCCTCCCTGCCTTCTCCCCAGGGCTGCTCTCCAGCCCCTCACCCCCAGCCTGGGCTGGCACCGGGGGTTGTCCTGACCCAGGTGCAAGATCTGCACTTGATGGTTTCTGGAGTATTCAGAAACCTTTCAATTTACTTCAGTCTGCATGAGTGTGTGCAGCTGAAAACAGGGGCCCAGCCCCTGCCCTTCCCTGTCAGAAGCAGGAGGCTGTGGCAGTGCCCAGGGACTGGTTTAGTGCATTTACCACCCTGAGTGAGACAGCAGCTGCTGTGACAGGTTCCTTCAGGTGTCTGTGTTCATTCTGGGTTTCCCTGTAACCTGGTTACTTCTCTGTCTGGTATAGAATGACGTTATCTGGTGTTTCTGGACAGAATCCTTAGATAGCTGATGCTGGGAAATAGGAGACTGTTATAATTCACTAGCCACAGGCTCTGGCTGTATATGTAGAATAACCCCAAATTAACTTTCTTTAGGTCTAATGGCAGTAAAAATCAAATGGTCTGAGCAAGGCTCAGAGAGTTTGAGATGGCACCATCAGCAACTCAGCACGTGGCTGTGCTGTGCTCTGCATCTCCCTGTCCCAGGGAACGTCCCCAGGTCCACACCCCCTCCCTTAGGGGTTAAAATCAGTTAAGTGAGGTGAGAAAAAATGAATGTTCCTCCTCCTGTTTAAAGGAGATAGTAAAAGGGCCAGAGACCAGCCCAGGGGGACACCTGGTGTCAGACAGTACCCTTGGCTCGTGTGCTTTTCTGCTCTGTTCCTGGAGAAACCGTCAGTTTTGGGGCTTATAATAATCCAAGGGGGGAGCTGCAGAGTTATGAAGGGGAGACACGAGTGTCTGCCCTGGGAGAACGTTTCCCCTCTGGTTGGGTTGGTGTCTCCTCGGCAGAACGAGCAGTGCTGCTGCTGCACCCACAAAGGTCTGAGGACACACAAAGGGTGCCAGGCCCCTGGCGAGGCTCTGGGAGACCCGGCAGCCTGGGCTGTGAGCTGCCTGGGCTGGGGCTGGTTCTGCCTCTGGATTTTGGGAGAGTATTTGGCTCCAGGGTAGCCCACAGAGCAACACAGTTTGAGCTGAGCAGGGATCCGTTGGAGGCCTCCAATGTAGGTCGCTGAGCAACCCCCTTCATTACTTAGTGATCCAATGGCTAAAGAATTTTATTTCTAGGGGGGATTGTTCTCTCAAACTAATTCCACTCAGTTAAGAAAAGTGGTCTGCGTTCTTCTGGGAAGCTGCTGGTATTTTTAAAGCCTTGTTCCTTGGGTTCTCTGGCTTGTGGGTGGCTTTGCCACAGCTGTTTTCTGGCCCATCTCCTTCACACACGTGGCTCCTGCTGCTTCCTCCACCTCAGCACTCAGGCCCCTGCCACCTTCTCACCCATTTCCCCTTCAGGCCTCGCTGCCCTGAGGGTGACCTGGGCGAGGGGACAGGGTGGCAAAAAACAAACCTGGGAGGAGTTGCTGATGCACCAGAGCTGCTGTGCTGCCACCCAGCGAGGGCTGGAGAGCTGGGGAGAGGCACCTCAGGAAGCTGCTGAGGGGCTGGAGCATCTCTGTGCCAGGCCAGGCTGAGAGCCCTGGGGCTGTGCAGCTGCAGAAGAGAAGCCTCAGAGGGGATCTGATCAGTGCTGAGCAAGAGCTAAAGGGCCCCGGGGGGCAAGAGGCTGGGGCCAGACTCTGGTCAGTGGTGCCAGTGACAGGACAAGGGGCAACAGGCACCAACTGGAACCCAGGAGGTGCCACCTGAGCAGGAGGAGAAACTTCTTTGGTGTGAGGGTGGCTGAGCCTGGAGCAGCTGCCCAGAGAGGCTGTGGAGTCTCCTGCTCTGGAGAGATCCCAAACCCCCCTGGCTGTGACCCTGGGCACCCTGCTGTGGGTGAGCTGCTGGAGCAGGGGGATTGGACAAGATGATCTCCAGAGGTCCCTCCCAACCCCACCATGCTGGGGCTCTGTGTCTCTTCTGGCCTGTGGTCACCCCAGGCTCTTCCCTCCCAGCCCAGCCTGGGAGCAGGACCCGGCAGCAGCTTTCTGGTGGTTCCTTCTCCATCTTCCCTGAACCATCCCTGCAGAGCAGCAGCAGCTCCTCTCCCACCCTGAGCCTCCCTCCCGACAGCTCTTCCCCAGCTGGGGACACCTGCTCTAGAGGACTTGGGATGTTTGATTCGCAGTGAAGAAAGGCCTCTGCATTTTTCAGGAATTCCTGGAGCTTTTTGTCCTAAATTCCATGTGAGATTTGCTCCTTGTACAACATCCCAGGGAAGCAACAAGTTTAATCCCAATTTTCAATGCAGTAGTGACGCTGAACCGGGGTAACTCCTGTGGCTGTAAACTGGCTGTTGCTGAAGCAAACCTCCCCAGAGGCAAAGCAGCCCCCAAAACTGGGGCTGGCTTTATTTTCATGTGCTGCTGAAGGTTATGAAGTCACAGATTATCTGTGCTGTGCTTCAGGAGCCATTTCATGCTTCCTCAAAAAAAAAAAAAAAAGTGTAGTTTGCCAAGGAGCTGAAATCTTATTGTTCTCACCAAATTCCTCCTGGTCTGAGGAAGGTGGAGGCCTCAGGGCCCGAGGGGGCCGTGGCTGAGGAGCTGTGCTGGGCAGGGTGTCTGGCACAGGTCTCCAACACCCGCTCACTCCTTACAGTGTTGGACGTACAGCACGAGTCTCCGCTCTGCCCGTTCCTTGACTCTGCCCCAGAGGTGCCAGGAGGGGTTCTGGGCAGCCCCAGGCCCTGGGTGTGTGCCCAAAACCACCACTCACTGACCTGGCTGGATGTCGAAATCCCGTGTTGGGTGTGCTGAGCCCGTGCCTGTTGCCATGGCGACGGCAGCACACA